TTTTACTCAAGGGTAATGGATATTTGTTTTTTTTAAAAAAAAATGGACATAAATTACAGGCTTTGATAATGTTTTTGAGTAATTAAAATTTGGGGTGTGACAAATAGAAACCCCCTCTTCATGGGTTTCTCCCTCATAAAAAGTTCCTTACTCTCTTGTTATCTTGTCAGTCTGCCTATATTCTTATTTCTAGTATGAGAGAGTGTTGTTATTATTAAGTTTGCCGAAGCTATTCAAAAGGTGCTTTTACAGTAGTTGGTTTCAATTGTCGTATCATGGGAGACAGACACTGGCATTCCTTCAATACCCATCGGTGAGACGGCGAATCTGTTTTAAGGAAACTATGTTTACTACAGGCTTCGATTTGTTTCCTTTGTTTATTCCTTTGCATTTAATTACTTTTTGTTAATTCTTGTTCATGCATGTTGTAACTTCCAGCTTTAGTAGTTATGCTATTTTCTGTTTTGTAATGCGAATTTAAATAAATCCAAATTTGTTTATTTTATTTAAACACACATTTTATATAATAGAGTTATCTGGGTAAGTTGCTCCAGCCGGTGGAGTACTAATGGCAAGTTTGGCAACGACCTAAAATAGTCAAAAAAATCATTATCAAAAAATTAACTTTACTATCTATTTTTCTACACATTTTTTTATAAAAAACTAAAAAACCAACTAAAATAGTTAGTTCCTTGGTGTCGTAATATGCAGTCTTGGATATTCAAGTGTGATGGAGATGTCGCTTATTATTGGGGTAAATTAGTCATAATAAATTATAAAAATGCAGGCTATGGATCTTACCTTTTAAAATTTAAGAACTAGGGAACTTTAACTTTGAACATCTATTTATAAAGATCTGATCTAATAAAAACTTATTCTAATGGGGGTATTACTAATTTTTCCTAATAAAAAACTAGGTCACTCTTATGAAATGTAGCAGTACAAAGAAAGCATATGAATTTTTTTATAAGTTTCAATGTGTCAGTATGAAGAAATTTGTCTGAGGTAAATTATTGTAATTAGATATAAGAATGGAAATAAAAGAATGAATTAAAGAATTTCTCAGAGAAATTCTCATAACTCACTTAACTGAGTAAAAAAATCACTTAATCAATACCAATTCAATAAAATAAATTACTTTGACTTAGGCTATGTTTGGGAAGAATGGTTTTTAGCCAAAAAGCCACTCTAAATTATCATATCATTCTCTTTACTTTCTTCACATATTTTTCATTAAAAAAAAAAAAGCCAATTCAATTTTCCAATTTTTACTAATTTTCAACTTTTAGTAACAGTTTGAAAAATTCATCATAGAAAAATATCACCAATTGTAAGTTTTAGTGACAATTTATAAAAATTGTGATAAAAAAGTCACTAATTGTCAATTTTTAGTGACATGCAAAAGATCATCATAAAAAATTATTTTTAATGATGATTTTATTATGACTTATTTTTAATAGGACTTAATAAAAATTAAATCCAACTATCAGGACTTATTGATAGTTTACTCAATAAAATTTCTCATTTTCTAACTAAAATTTCACACTTAGTAACTTAACACTGTAAAAACTTTACTCAGTGAAATTGCATAGTGCGATTACAAATTTATATATTTTTTAATAGAAAATGAAGAAAAGAAAATCGATAGAGATAATGAGATGAAAGAGAAAGAATGAAGGAAAAAAAAAAGAAGAAGATAAACAAATATAAATTTGGATTACGTAATGAGAATAGAAGAACAGCAAAGGTTTCGTTGATAACAGTAGTGGTGGCGAAACGGTAGTTTTGAAGTGCAACCTGGACAACGAATTGCACAAATAATATTTGAAAGGGTATCCCTTCCCAGAATGGTGGAACAAGACACGTTGCCTAGTTCCCATAGACAGAACAAAGGTTTTGGTAGTTCAGGAATGGCTTCGAAGCCTATAGATTCGGATTCTGATTTAAACTCTATCGTAAATTACAGCAATGTTGTGAGCTAGAGTTTGTCTCTCTAGTAAAGTCAATTTAAAGGAATTTCGTAGTCAACAACTTCAGCTGCAGTACAAATGGATTTCTTGGGTTCAACAATTGATGGTCTTCCTTGTAGTCTCTGCAGTGCTCTTCGTGCTCTGCGTTGTAAGACATTGGTTGAAACAATTTTTATGTTCCGAGAATCAGACAACAACTATTGGCTTGGAAAGGAAGGAGGTTATAGGGCACAAGTTAAGGTCACTCCGGAAATATATCATTGTCAACATGAATGGAACCAACGTGATCCATTGCCCCATGATAGAAGTCCGAAATGTACTACTTGTAAAAGCTTTGCTTCACCAAATCAAAGGATCCTTAATTGGATGAGTCAAGAAGAATTGGTCGTCTCTGGGGATTCCATGGTCATAGGTGAGACGATCTTCATTTTGGTTGGACTTAGAATAAGCCCATTCTTCTGACAGATTTCCAACATGGACTGGATATGTTTTGCATGAGATTTTTCCTCCAGGTTATCCACCTGCCACAGGACAGACACCAATGAATATTCACATCTCACCAAGACCTTCTTATGCAGGAGAAGGACCACGACCCAACTTTCGACGTGATTCGAAGAATGAATGATGGAATTTGCCATCTGCTATGCACCAAACATGAGCAATGTTTGTAATCCCACACCCCCTTGGAAAATTCGATGATGTGTTCATGAGGTGGGAATCTATTACGAAGACACATGTTTCGATGCAAGGATTCACTGATGTTCGTGATAAAATCATGTTCATAGAAAACTTGCTTGGAGAAACCGAAAAGCTCATGTGGACGCAATGGCGAATGAAATACACAAAAGAGTTCGCTAATTTAGTCGCAATTGGCGAAGGAAATGAAGGAACACATAATATCATTTCACAAATGAGAACTGTGTTTACTTTGGAAGATCCCTATCAGGGATCAACTTTGATGCAAGAGGAAGCTTACCGAGATCTTGAAAGATTATCATGCAAGGATGTTAAAGACATCATCAAATTCCTGAATGATTATCTTCATCTGGCAACGAGATCAGGCAGATTATTTGTTGGAGAAGAATTATCTGAGAAACTATGGTCAAAAATGCCAGGAGACCTTGGTGAAAAAATCAGGAAGGCTTTCCAGGAGAGACACGCTGGAAATACAATTGGTGTAGCCCCAAGAATTCTGTTCTCTTACAAGTATTTGGAAGCAGAATGCAAAAATGCAGCGTTCCAGAAGTCACTTCGAAATCTGGAATTTTGTAAGGAGATTCCTATTCCAGGATATTACAAGGAACCAGAGAAGAAGTATGGTATTCGCAAGGCAACAACCTACAAAGGAAAGCCGCACTCTTCCCATGTCCGAATTGATAGAAGAAAGTACCTGCAGAAGTCCAAGCATTGTAAATGTTATCAAGACGACAAACAACCTTTAAACAAGACGACAAACAAACTTTAAACAAAAATCCCTTCCTGATTCTTTCACCAAGGTCTCCTGGCATTTTTGACCATAGTTTCTCAGATAATTCTTCTCCAACAAATAATCTGCCTGATCTCGTTGCCAGATGAAGATAATCATTCAGGAATTTGATGATGTCTTTAACATCCTCAACCTTCTGTCTGGTCTAATCCTTTTGCTACAACTGCAACGCCCATTGAGTCCCTCAATGTTCTAACGGAAGGTGGTGAGTACAGTGATTGTGATGCCGTATCTGTTTTCAAAACAGATCCAACTGCCGTTATTCCTTCTCGCGCAACAACTGGCTCTGTTGGCTATGATCTTAGCTCAACACGACGCAAATGTGATAAATATTGTATAGAAACAATTTCATGATGGCATCAATATTGTGCAATGTCTTCAAGTGGAAACTTATAAACTTAAGCTATGAAGTTTTGTCTTGTGTCCTCACATTATTGAAGACTTGTAACAAGAGAGTTGGACAAACAAAATCCTATACATAAAATTTTTTTAGAGCTATGCTCCCGACCTCCAGTCAAATCCATCCCCTCCTTCCCCACACGCGCGCGCGCAGGGGTAAGGTTAGTGATTGGAGGAAGAAAAAAAAAATTCTGGCCAATTAGCACCCACTAAGGATGCTAGCGGTCTCCCCCAATGGGGATCCCAAGCTTTTCTGAAAATTTTGACATCTATACTTTTAAAAAGTTACATTATATGTATTTTTAGTTATGTTATTTTTTTTAGTTATGATTAATTCTTTTTTTCAATAATGATATTATTTTAGTTATGACTTATGAATTCTTTAGTTATGTCTAATATTGTGTTTGGTTATGATATATTTTTTTTAATATTTTAGTTATTATTCAAAAAGTATAAAGTTATACAATTTTCTTCTTTAGTTATAAAGTGTATAAAATACACATCTTTTGAAAGATGTGTACTATAATATTTTTAAAAAAAATATTATATTAAATTATTAATTTAAAACTAAAATTTTTTAAATAAAAATCGTGCACTTCACAATAAGAGTATATATCGATTTGATGACCCATCTAACCCACGTAGCTTAACTCTATTTGTTTAGGGCTTGGGAAGGTTGTCTATAGAGCGGGTTGGGGCTAAAATTTTCAGTCCTTCCATGGTCATAGGTGAGACGATCTTCATTTTGGTTGGACTTAGAATAAGCCCATTCTTCTGACAGATTTCCAACATGGACTGGATATGTTTTGCATGAGATTTTTCCTCCAGGTTATCCACCTGCCACAGGACAGACACCAATGAATATTCACATCTCACCAAGACCTTCTTATGCAGGAGAAGGACCACGACCCAACTTTCGACGTGATTCGAATTTGTATTGATGTGCAATTGAATTTATTTAAAAAATTCCTCAATCTATAGACAATTTTTTTTTAAAAAAAATTTATAGTAATATCAATATATTTATTTAAAAAATATAATATGTAATTTAATTTAATTATCAAATATTTTAATTTTTTTAATATATAGTGGACTTGGCCCGGCCGACGTTCCGTCACGGGGTAGAAAACTAGAAGTGTTTTATATAAAAAAGAACCGGAGAATTTGATACAAATCCTAGTCACCTGATTAGGTTTACTGAAGGCTTTTAGAGCAAACAACCCCATTGCCGCGCCAATTTGCCGTCACACCGAACCGTCTAGAGCTTGCGCTAGCCGTCGATGCGATGCTCCTTTCCCTTCCTTAAATCCTTCTCTGTTGCAGATTCTTTCGCCTCAACAAATCAGGTTGGTACTCAATTCCAATATGTTCCCTTGTTGAGAGAAGCTAGATTGCAAAATTTTCTAGGGTTTCTGTTGAGTTGTCTTTTGATTGCTTGTTATTCTTGCGTGGAGAAAGAAGTGAAGGGAAAAATGGAGGAGTATCAGGATATGGAAAGGTTTGGCACGGACAACGATTTCGAAGATGGTCAATGGATTGGTGGTGAATTCTACTACCGTAAGCGCAAAGACAAGCGTCGTCAGACCAAAGACGACGTCCTCTTTGGTGTCTTCGCAGACAGCGATTCCGACGCTGTCGATGATGATGATTACGATGGTTCCTCTTCCCGGAAGCACAGAAAGAAAGATCTCTCCAGAAAACCCGACCTCACAAAACCTGTCAATTTCGTCTCCACCGGCACCATCATGCCCAACCAAGAGATTGATCGCAATTCCAAAGAGGACGAGGATCGAATTGAAAATGCTGCTTCGGCCGAGTCCTCCGGTTTAGGCTTCTTCGGGGGTTCTTCTTCTGGTCCCGGTGTTGGTCTGGGTTTTAATTCGAGCTCTTCTATATTAACCAAGAAAGAAATAGACGAGGACAAGGACAAGGACAACAACGACGATGGCGACTTCCTCCCTACTGCTTTTGGCAGAAAGATCAAGGAAGGTGCACAGCAGCGGCAGTTTCAATCGAGAAATTGAAGTTAGCCAAGGCATCTGCATCTCAATCTCAATCTCAATCTGGAGCTGGAAGGCGAGAACCAGAGCCTGGTGATGTAGGTGCATTCGAGAAGCACACTAAAGGGATTGGGATGAAGTTGCTTGAGAAGATGGGTTACAAAGGAGGTGGGCTTGGAAAAAATGAGCAAGGAATTGTCGCTCCAATTGAGGCCAAGTTGCGACCCAAAAAAATGGGGATGGGTTTCAATGATTATAAAGAGACGAAATTGACGCCAGTGTTGCAGGAATTAGAGGAGAAGAAATCTTCGCCTGGGATATCTCAGCCTGCCAGTCACTCCAAAGAGAAGCTCTGGTTGAAGCAAGTTCGGCCAAAGAAGAAGGGTTATGTTACTGCTGAAGAGCTTTTGGCCAGGAAGCAAGAGCAAGGCTTGGAAGTTGTTCAAAAAGTTTTTGATATGAGAGGGCCACAGGTTCGTGTCTTGACCAACTTGGAGAACTAATCTAGTTTGAGGAGAAAGCAAGGGAAAACGACATCCCTATGCCTGAGCTTCAGCATAATGTGAGATTGGTTGTAGACTTAGCCGAGTTGGACATACAGAAGATTGATCAAGATTTGAGGAATGAGAGGGAGATGGTGGTCAATTTGCAGAAGGAGAAGGAGAAGCTTCAATCTGATGCAGCTCACCAGAAGAAACAGCTGGACAATATGGCAGAAATAGTTAGCTTATTGGAGCAAATTGGGAAGGAGAATTTGCTCGGAACATTGACACTAGACTCCCTCACAAAGTTATTTGGGGACTTACAGAGGCGGTATGCTGATGATTACAAACTCTGTAACTTGTCATGCATTGCATGCTCATTTGCACTTCCTCTATTCATTAGAGTATTTCAGGGATGGGATCCTCTTCAAAATCCATCCCATGGGGTGGATGTGATATCTTTGTGGAAGAATCTGTTGCAAGGAGAGGATTGTTTTGAATTTTCTGATGCAGCATCACCTTATACTTGGCTGTTTATGGAAGTTGTCTTCCCTGCTGTGAGAATATCTGGCACCAATACTTGGCAGGCAAGAGACCCTGAGCCGATGCTCCGGTTTTTGGAGTCTTGGGAAAAGCTGATGCCTCCATTAGTCCTACAAACTATACTGGACAACATTGTTATGCCCAAATTATCAGCTGCTGTGGACTCATGGGATCCACGTCGGGAAACTATTCCAATTCATGCCTGGGTGCATCCATGGCTACCATTATTGGGACAGAAGCTGGAGACTTTCTATCACACCATACGAAATAGATTGGAAGGTGTTCTTCATGCTTGGCACCCTAGTGATATGTCTGCATACTATATATTGTCTCCTTGGAAGACTGTGTTTGATCCAGCCAGTTGGGAACAACTGATGGTCCGATTTATTCTTCCGAAATTGATCACTGTTATGCATGAATTCCAAGTGAACCCGGCAAACCAGAAGCTTGATCAGTTCTACTGGATCCAAACCTGGGCTACCGCTATTCCGATTCATCACATGATCCAGTTAATGGATGTATTCTTTGACAAGTGGCAACAAGTTTTGTACCATTGGTTGTGCTCAAACCCAAATTTTGAAGAAGTGACTCAATGGTATTTGGGTTGGAAGGAGCTGCTCCCAACAGAACTACTGGCGAATGAACACATCAGGTATCGGCTTAACCTGGGCCTTGACATGATGAACCAGGCTGTTGAAGGCATGGAGGTGGTCCAACCTGGTTTGAGGGAGAACATTAGCTATCTTAGGGTGCTTGAGCAAAGGAAGTTTGAGGCTCAACAAAAAGCAGCAGCACATGCTCGAGCTTCTGCAAGCGTTGGTAGTGGAACCCAGATGGAGGGGATGGGTGGGGGGCTTGACATGAGCTTGAAAGAAGTTATTGAAGCGCATGCACAGCAGAATGGCTTGTTATTTAAGCCTAAACCTGGCAGAATGCAAGATGGTCATCAGATATATGGCTTTGGTAACATAAGCATCATAATAGACTCTCTAAATCAAAAGGTATTTGCACAAGCAGAAGATAGGTGGTCTTTGGTATCTCTTGAGCAGCTGTTGGAGATGCAGAATTCTGGTTTGAAGCGGCGCTGAATTTCTAAAGCAGTTTATTGTTTCTTGGGATGAAATCCAGACTTATTTAAAGGTGGTTTTGGGCTGTATAGACTATTTCCATGATAAATATTGACTAGCTGTGAACTTTTAGGTTGTCTCTGGTGGCTTTCGAGCTCTGTTATGGCTCCTGAGAATGTCACTGGTAACTTGTTTCTCCTTGACAATAGTTTCAATCAACGAAATTTTTTGCCTTTATTACTATCTTTTTATTTTAAATTTTAAAATCATTGCACATCATGTAATGCAGAGCTTTATTGAAATTTTGGATTGGAAGCTGTCCTGAGGTTTTCAATGTGGCCGAGTTATTGACTTTTGTCTTTTTAATGTTTGTATATTGGGTTAAAGGTGAGTGATGCTCACTATATAATATTGTTCTTGTTGTTAATTAAAGTATGCAGCAGTGTTTAGTTTTATGAAAACTGTACCTTGACCTGACTTTCTAGTAGTTTTTAAATTCTAACCTTATGAATCTGTTGTTATTGGAAGTTTTAATCTAGTTTTTGTCGTTGTATATAATTCCTTTATTTTACTTAAGTGGCACTAAGCTGAACATGTGATAATTGTACTTTCAATACAATTTTTATTAGCTGATAGGGTTTAGCTTTTATACATGGTAAAAATATATGATTTGGCAGTGAGATACCAGGCACTATTTATGAAATTCAGATGATTTTCTGGGGTTTAGACTAGTTTCAAGTCCTTCCAGCCTTATAATTGAGCTAAGCCAAAGATGAGCTCGGGTGTGATGTAGCAGGCTGAGGAAGGAGAATCATTATGTAGATATTTGTAGGGCTTAGCAGGAAAAGGGGAAGGGCCTTCTCACTAAAGGCTAAGCAAGATCACACAAACACAAATTCAAATTCAAATTCAAATCCCCATAATTTCACCTTTTTAGTGCAGAGAATTATTATGTGGATATTTATAGATTTCTTGAGTTTTCTGTAATTCTTTTAAAATTATAACTCAAGAATTTGAAATTAAGAAACTTTCACTAATTAGAATATTTTAAACCCAACAAACCATATGTAAGACTCAAACGTGTAACTTGACTCGTTTACAACCTATAGTCCAAAACTATAGCCCATGTCTAGTGAATCTAGAAATTACTGAAATACCTTAAACTCATAAAATGTGCTAAAACATAGAGAGAATGGGTAAATTACAAATGACGTGGTTGAGGAGTACATACTCAGAATAGGGAAGGAGTTATTTTTAAGGCCGATCGTGAGAAAACATGTGATCATGTTGACTTGGGATTTTTGGATTTTGTTTTGAAGAAAAAGGGATTTAGAAAGAGATGGGGAAAGTGGATTAATGACTATCTTGCTTTATCAAAACTTTCAATTGTGGTGAATGGGAAGCTGGGTTACTTTCTTAGCTTCCAGGGGACTAAAGCAAGGGATCCTTTAATGCCTTTTTTGTTTATTAGTGCCTTTTTATGTTTTGAGTAGAATGGTTTTTAAGGCTTTTGAAAGGGATTTAGTGGCTGGATTTTAATGAGATCGTATAGAAGTGACACATCTTTAATTTGCAGAAGACATCATTTTCTTTTCTTCAGGAGAAGATAAAATGGTTATTTTTCGTTCTATTATTAGAGCTTTTAAGATAGTTTCCTGGCTCAAAATCAATTTGAAGAAAAGTTCAAAAAACCAATTAGGACCAAGATAGGTTGATAAGAATGGCGGAGATTGTGGGATGTTTGATTTTATCTTTACCTATGAAGTTTCGGTTTGTCTTCAGGTGGGTACCCTTAGGCAAAAGAATATTGGGCATTTGTTTTGGAAAAGATTGCAAAAAGATTGGATGGGTGGAAGAGAGTTTTGATCTCTAAAAGAGGAAGGTTTACTTTAGCCCAATCAGTTTTAGCTAGAATTCCCATTTACTACTTTTCTTTATTTAGAATCCCAAGGGGGTGCTGCTAATAATATTGAGAAAGCAATGAAGAATTTTCTGGGAGGGTTGGGGGGAAGGGAGGAAAGAGCATTGGTCAATTGGGATACGCTTCCTCTTCCCAAATATAAGGGAGGTCTTGGCTTGGGTCACATTGTTGAGAAGAATATTGCATTTTTTGTGAAATGGCAATGGAGATTTCTGGATGAAAGGGTCCTTATGGCATGCAATTATTGAGTGGGCTTTACGATAACGAGTGGGACTCTGTAGTGGCGGGGAAAGGGGGGCTTATCAATCTCCTTGGATATCTCACATGGCCTTCTGAGGTTCTTTCAATACATTCATCTCAGTTCATTCTGTTTTGGAAGGATCTTTTTTATTTTATTTTATTATTATTATTATTTTATTATTATCAACACTAGGGGAGGGAAAATTTCATTTCCTTATTTTGTTTCTGTGGTATTATTATCAACACTAGGGGAGGGAAAATTTCATTTCCTTATTTTGTTTCTGTGGTTGTATCAGATTTCTAGAACTCACAATGCCTTTATCGCTTCAATGGCTATTTCATTTTCATGTCCATTATCTTGGGATTTCAGTTTTGTAGTTTAATGATTGTGAAACCATTGAGCTTGTTTCGTTGGTGGCAATTCTTGAGAATGTTTATTTGTTCAATGGTAATCTTGATAAGAGTGTGTGATCCTTTCACTCATAGGGAACGTTTTCTTGCAAATTATTTTTTGAACTACTTATTGATGACCCAAATGTTCCTCTTTGTCCCTCTTATAAAATGATTTGGGCTGCTTATGTGACTATTGAGGTTAAATTTTTTTGCATGGACAGTAGCTCACAAAAAGCTTGATACTAATGACATGATTCAAAGGAGAAGGTCAAATTGGCATCTATTTCCACAATGGTGTTTTGTGTAGCACAGCTGAGGAAAGCATGGATAATCTTTTCTTGCATATCCTGTTGCATTATCTGTATGGTGGAGAGTCCTCTATTTGGCTGTGGATGATTGAATCATTCCATCCTCTTGTAAGCATAATTCATGCATCAATTTAGAGGTTTTGGTTCAAATAATAAGGCTTGGATTCTTTGGAAGTGTGGTTTGTGCAGCTCTCTGGGTATTATGGCTTGAAAGGAATGCTAAATTTTTTGACCGAAAATGTGAAGATTTTGAGAGTTCATGGGATAAGTGTGTTTTTTGGCATCCTTTTGGACCTCAGTAGCAGGAATCGTTCAAGTTGCTCATGATTCTTCCTTAGAAGCGCGGTTCTGCGCATATGACTCAGGTTCGTAGAAGAATCGCGAGTTTGATGCGAGAGAAACATGAATTTGATCACGGATCTGTCTTCTTCTCTTCCTCTCAATCTATTTGTTTCTTTTCTCTGGATCTCGCTTTCGGTCTCATGACTCGTCTTCTTTAGATCAATTGATCGATCTCGTATCCTCTCTCCCTTGATCGATCTCAATCTCATCTCTCGATTGACTCTTCTTCTCTCTCTCTCTCTTTCTCTCTCTCTCTCTCTCGATTTCCTCTCCTCCTCTCTATTTGACCAACGCCTTCTCTCTCTCTCTCTCTCTTAAGAATTTTAACAAAATAAATTTATTTTATTTTTTTAAGAAAATATATAAAATAAGTACTTTTTTTTTGTTAAAAAAAGCTAATAAAACTATATAATTAGAATATTTTAACAGTGGAACTTACAATGGATTCAAATCGAGAAGCTTTTTTATTTATTTATAATATATATATATATATATGTCAATTAAAAATAAAAAAAATTATATAGATAAATTAAAAATATTATTAATAAAAATAATACATAAGTATTTTTCTTTAATAAAGTTTTGCTTTTCTTGTTGATCAAAAATAAAAAAAATAAAAAAAGGGTAAATTACATTGACATTTCTTCTGATTTACGACTAATACACTCCCCTCCTTGTGGTTCTACAAATTAGGATGACATCCCGTCAGATTTATTCAGTTAATAGTGTTTTAAAATATATTTAAATTGAAGATTATTTTGTAAATAAATATTCAGAACATTTTAATGGGCAAAATTTTCCTTACCAATCACCAAATTTGTCACACTTTCTACCACCTTTCATGCTCTCTTTTCTTTTCCTTCCTACCACCAACGCCTTCTTGGTCACTCTCTTTAACCTACATCACTGCCGACCACCATTTTCATTCGCCGAACACTGTGTTGCATCAACCTTGAAGTTTCTTATGTTACGTCAATTCCCGCTTTTGGAAATGGCGAGAATCATTTCCCAGGCAATCGAGATTGAAATCCATGCATCTCGTGATCCATCGTAACTGTCTCCTAAAATCCTCCTACTATGCAAAAACTAGAAATATCATTCACAATAGAGATAACAACAACCACTATGAAATATATACACCCACTCTAAATTCTTCATATGCATTACTTTAATGAAAATCAGAGAAAGTGATACATAAGTTTTGTCTCCTATTTCTGAAAAAAAAAAAAAAAAAAAAAAAACTTCAGCAGGGAATTGTTTTTGTCTAAGTAATAATAAAAAAATGTGGATAAATTGGTAATTATGATGTGGATAACAAGGTAAGGCTTTTATAGTGTTGCTATGGGTATTTTAGTCAACTAAAGTGTTTTTTGGGTTGCACCAGCTGTATGCTGTTTACTTCTCTTACACTGTATTTGGTTAGAAGATTTGTGGAGAGATTTGGAAAGGAAAAGGAAAAAAATGTGTGAAATTAGGTGAAATGTAGGTATATTTTATTTACATTTCACTTACTTTTTCCATTTACCTTTTCAAATCCCTTATCAAATTTCCCAACCAAACACAATATTAATGACTGCTTAATGAGAAGGGAGAATTTGCAACTACTATGCAAAACACAACAAAGGTCATTGTAATTTCCAGCGGGAGGGGATCATTAGTCAGAAATCTATCCAAGAAAAAGTACATCAAAGCCAATTTATTCCGATCTGAGGCATATTCCATGTGAAATTTCAAATTTGTTCCTTTTCATCCTTTTATGATCTGCGTCATTGTCATTGTTGTTGTTGCTATTACATAGTTTCAAATCGTCTTCATTTTTATGTTGTAAAATATGCTTAAATCCGTTGGTTGAGTTTCACCATTGATGTGGCTCCTCTCCAATGAAATGGCTATTGTTATCTATATTTCTTCTCTCTTCTGCTTGCGAGTTCGATTCTGTAGGATCAAATAGATTAACAAGCAGCCTTCATCTCTTAGTCAAACTTTCCTTTCTCCATGTAGTTCCCTAAACCAAAGCCAAACCCATCTATTTTTAAGACAGAGCACTGAAAGGAAAAGTTGTACATCAGCTTTCCTTTGGTGGATGGTTACAATTATCCTATGGAGTGGATTTGGTGGTAGAGCCCGTGATATATTCTTCGAAAGTTATATTAAAATGTTATTTTTGTTTTTGAAATTATATGCTTGTTGGCTACATATTTTGTACAAGTCAGTTACAATTCGACACGTGGCAAAATAAGGGTAGTACGGGAAGACTATTCGAATCTTCGATCCTGATCGTACACGTGGCAGTTAGTATTGGTTGTTACGAGATCTGAGTAGCAGTGGATCGACAAAGAAATACAAGGTAATGT